CCATGCACCGTGTCGCCCTATTTTATATGTAAGAACTACCAAGACTCTAATCTTAAGTGAAGGTGTACCATTTCTTGCTGTGTTCCTCAAACAACCTAATGAGGTTTCTCGTACATGCAATGCTTACCTACAATGTGGCGAGCTGCTGTCCCGGCAGGTAGGGCTGACTTATTTCATTTGAGTGGTGAACCTGCAACTAATCGAACCCACTCGTGCAAAATTTTATTGTTGCATATAAACTAACCGGCCACTTTATTAGGTACACCTGTCCAACTGCTTGTTAACGCAAATATCTAATCAGCCAATCACATCAATGCATTTAGGCATGTAGACATCTGGAGGATCTGCCGCAGTTCAAAGCGAGCATCAGAATGGGGAAGAAAGGGGATTTAAGAGACTTTGATCGTGGCATGATTGTTGCTGCCAGATGGGCTGCTCTGAGTATTTCAGAAACTGCTGATCTACTGGGATTTTCACGCACAACCATCTCTAGGGTTTGGTCTGACAAAGAGGAAATATTCAGTGAGCGACAGTTCTGTGGGCGCAAATGCCTTGTTGATGAGGTCAGAGGAGAATGGCCAGACTGGTGCCAGCTTATAGAAAGGCAACAGTAGTTGCAGCATATGTCACAATAATAATAATAACACACACACACACACACACACTTACCTGAGTTGGAGTGTCCAGGTTGTGTGTTGTGCCTCTCTTCAGTCTTTCTCAGTCGCTCTGCTCTTTTATCTTCATTGTGCTTCAATAATGCAGCACTTCTATGGTTTCTCCTTCCATGACTTCATGTTTCCTTCAGTGTGATCGATTCGCACTCCTCCCGTCTAATTAGACTCTTGAAGTGCCGCCGTCTGCATGCTTCAATAAGTCATAAGAACCAGCTAATGAATGTGCAGAGACTGAGGGTTCGTACGGTCCTGGAGAACTTGCTCATTACAGATACGTACCCCTGTATACATTTCTGGAGAGCACAAAATATGCTTAGGTTTCCGGAACCGGCCCCTGGACATATTCAGACTGAGATGATGTGTTTATTTTAATGTTTTAATAACTGTTCTGTTGTAACAGCAGTGTGTCGATGTTCTTGTGTGATGAAAAATAATGTGAATATCATAATGTGAAGCGACGCTGACAACGGAAGTGCGGATCCAAACGCAGGTTTATTATGGTCAACACAGGGACAAACAGATGTACACAGGGAATCCAAAGTTGTGGTCAAAACACAGGCGGTCAGTACAGGCAGGCAGCAAGAAACGTAAAACAATCGAAAAGCAAGGATCAAAAACACGGCAAGACAAGCCAAGGAAAACGGGTGGTTATGTTCACACACATTATAACAAGACTCAGCAATGTGTGTGTGTGTGCTGTATAAATAGTCCAACTAGTCTTTGAGCAGCTACAGCTATTTGTGTTAGCAATCAACAAGGATTAGGAACCGGTGTGTGTGTGTGTGTGTGCAATGCATGACTGGACCTTGTAGTTTATATAATGGCGGATTTGTTGTGCTTTGTTTACCAGCGATCTGTAAGGATTAGATGATTAGATCGCTGGTGATTGTGACGACAAGAGGCATTGCTAGACAAAAACTCTACTGGGGCACAGCTCCCCCTAAAAAAAAATAAATAAATAGAAGAAATTATATATATATATATATATATATATATATATATATATATATATATATATATATCAGGATCATAGCCAGCCTGTTAAAAGGGGCGTTTTTTTTTTTAACCCAAGCTTTTTTTTAACTCCTCTTCTTCGCGCTCACTCGCCGGCTGCGACAACTCACTCACCTCCTTGTGGAGGGCTTTCCTGCCGCAACCAGTTTGTCCACTTAGCTCGCAGGGTTATGTCGTTTCAATAAACGCAACTTTTCTTTTTGGAGAGGTGCTTTGAAAAGGGTATTGTTTTGTCAGACAGTGCCACCTGCTGTTGGCTTGGGTGAAGTGGCAGGTATGGAGACCCAACGAGAGGGGTCTTGATGCAGACCTGATGCAGTGCAATCTGACCTGCATCCAATGCTTTTGAATGCGCTCTCTTAACCCTACCCGTCACAGTGACGTCACTCACACCATATTTGCGCATTGAGTCTGACATTGCATCGCTGAGTGATGCAATCTCAGCCTGCATCATAAAGGCTGCATCCAGATACTATTGCCCATAGATATATAGTCTAGATCAGTGTTTCTCAACTGGGTCGCGGGAACATTTTCAGTGGGTTGTGGAGTGTGTGGTCGAAAAAAAAAAACTAAATTTTTTACTTATTTTGCTTATACCGGAGTTTTATTTTGAAATGCGTGCGTGACAACCCTACCGTTTGACATGTTAAATTTCATTTAATTATTGCAACAAATATGTCGAAGCACAAGTACGACCCTGAATATGTAAAGTATGTATATATATATTGACGGGAAAAAAAACTTAAAGTCTCAGTGTCATATGTAGTGAGGCGCTCTCATAAGAGAGCATGAAACCTTCTAAATTAAAACAACATTCAGAAACCAGAAAACATGTTTTATTAACAGTTTATTATTATTAACAGTATTTGTCATTTTTACTTTGTAATATTTCTATAAGTTGATCCATTTTGTTAAACGGCAGCAATAAAATAGTATTTATTTGTAAGTCTTGGTAAATGTCTTATGATGTATCTGTCACTACTGTGTGTATGTTAACAAATAAATACAAATTAAGTGCAATTCCTGAATTTGTTATTATAGTTCCTAAAAATATGATGACCATGTAAAAATGTGGGTCCCATGGCCAAACCAGTTGAGAACCCCTGCTCTAGATATCCCATAAGGACCATGAGCATGCGTCAACAGATGAATTACTAGAATGTAAGCATTCAGGATGCACGTGTAGCGAGGTTGCAGAAAAGAAACGGGAGCGCTAACATTTACAGCAAGGGAATTACATCCGATATGGTGCAGAGTTTGTTGTTGTATTAGAGAAAAGTTATATTAATCACATATTATATATATTATTGACATAATGCTTTCAGCGTATTATAACAGCTCGTCACCCAGTGATAAGCACACTGGTGGTTCGGCTAAATTAACGTTAAAGTGAGCGGCGTTCATCTGACAGGTCCATTTGCGATAGATAGCACTCTCCCAATGGATATTGCATAAGAGGAAATGACCAAGCATCCAGCCCCAAATATACAACTACCTACAAGTCTTTGGATGCCTACAGTGTTGTTCTGTGTGGTCATGTGCAGGAAATAATGCTCCATGATGACCAGATTTAACACTATAGGCCATACATATGTGCTGTTCATTCATTCATTCATTCATTCATTCATTCATTCATTCATTCATTCATTTTCTTTTCGGCTTAGTCCCTTTATTAATCAGGGGTTGCCACAGTGGAATGAACCGCCGACTTATCCAGCATATGTTTTACGCAGCAGATGCCCTTCCAGCTGCAACCCATCTTTGGGAAACATCCATACACACTCGTACACTACGGACAATTTAGCCTACCCAATTCACCTGTATGTCACCCACGCGAACGCAGAGAGAACATGCAAACTCCACAGACCACACAGTAAGGCCAGCTGACACAGTCGAGACTCGAACCATCAACCTTCTTGCTGTGAGGCGACAGCACTACCTACTACGCCACTCCGTCGCCGATATATACACACACACATACACACACACACATACACAAGATGTTGATAATACTGTCACAATGCTTTAAAAAACATTCAAAAGCTGTTCAAAAACACAAATTTAAACAAAGTGAAACATACTTCAGGGTGAAATATCACTCTTTTTATGCAATAATAGTAATTTACATATTTTATTAAAGCTACTGCAGACAGAAACCTGTATTCTGGAAAAATCTGAACCTTAAAATGACAGCACATCTGATGTCTTTTAGGATATATACGTCACGAGTATTAGTAAAAGTACTCAGCAGACCCCCTAGAGCAGAGTCCTGGAGGGCCGGTGTCCTGCAAAGTTTAGTTCCAGCCCCAATCAAACACACCTAATCAAGCTCTTACTAGGCTTTCTAGAAACATGCTTAAAGGTGTCTTGAGGCAAGTTGGAGCTAAAATCTGCAGGACACCGGCCCTCCAGGACTGAGTTTGGACATCCCTGGCCTAGAGGGCACTCCACCTATATGTACAGTCCACCAGCATTTGGATGAGTGGGGATGTGGTGGTTGATGTGCAGCGCGAACTGAAGACTGAGGAGCGGGGGCCGGGTGGTTACGAGAACTGAACACTGGATTTCCGGAGTTTTCCAGGAGACAGAACAAAACGGGAGATCGGTCTGAAATACGGTAGACTCCCGGGAAAAACGGGAGTGTTGGCAGGTTTGTCATTCATGGCTCAGTATTCTGTAATATTAGAGTCATGGCAGTTCTAAGTGCACCTTTAATCAATAGAGAATGGTAAGCAGGCAGGGGTCAAAACCAACATAGGTTTATTCTGAAAACGTCCCCCTATATACATTTCAAGAGTTCACACTTAGCTGATGATTTACAAAGCTTATTTGGCATGCTGTCCCGGGAGAGAGCCCCGAGCTCAAGGGCTCCTCGAGCCCGGGGCTTCCTCCCGTTGGCAGAGCAAGAAGGGAGCCTGAGCTCGGTGGATCTCAGAACTCCCCTGCCGCTGTAGCTAAGGGAACGTAAGGAATTAGACCAGCTTGATTGTTATGTATGTTGAATGTCTTTGGATGGTGGGAGGAAACCGGAGAGCCCGGGGAAAACCCACGCGGACACGGGAAGGACATACAAACTCCCCACAGAAACACTCACCGGTCCTATCGAACTAGGACCGGCAGTATTCTTGCTGTGTGGTTCACAGTGCTAACCACTGGACCGCCGTGCCGCCCAATTACAGGTAAAGGAGGAGAATAGGGGAGGAGGGGGGTTTCTTCCAAACGAAGATAAAGTGAACTGAAAACTTAGACTATTTATGGTGCCTTAGGGCTCATATGATTGGAAGATTAGTGATTAGCAAATGCGAGACTGGACGTGATAAATCATAAGCACGTGATCCTCTCGAAATTAGTTTATGAATAAACTTCACTTCTAAAGATCGCAAATTATGTAGCCAGAAGTACGTGTGACTGCATTTTGTCTTTAAAAAGAACGCTACGGCGCAGATTGATGCTATTTCTTTCCTTGCTTACCAGCTGACCACTTGCCTTCATATGGATGGCTTTCCTGCTGTTACCATTTTGTCCAGTAGCTTGCCGCGTACGTCGGCGAACTCAAGACGCAGAGCGGAGTTTAAACGCAACAATGGCGTTGGAGTCTGGCGAAGAACGGTTCCAGGAAGCAGGTTAGACAAAAACAGAAGCCAAAAAAATAACAGGGTGAGAATGTGGTAAGATCTGAAACCAGGAGGCCACAAGGCCTTTTCTTTTTCTGGTGTATTTATGAAAACACTGTCGGTTGGGTTTAGGGTAGGAGGAGGGTGGGTCAGTCGATCGGTCAGTCGACACTGGCCTCAGGTGAATTTGTGTGAACAAAAAGTGCAAAAAGGTACCTCCTGGGATGTATTTCGCGCTCTCCAGAATTGTATACAGGGATACGTTTTCAGAATGAGCCTGGGTTGGTTAAAACAGTGATGTGAAGGGTAATCAAAAACGAGCAGTTCAAGAGACAGGCAAATGTAATAACAGTCCAATGTAGGGATGCCACATGACAATTCAACACTGTGTCGAGATCCCAAAGCGTAGGTGTTTCGAAAAACTGCTCTGTAGCATTTCAAAACCTCCAGGTCATGTGACTAAAGCGATTCACGGGATTGGGGAATTTCGGAAGTATTTCAAGAATCTGTGCTTGAATGACAGGGTCAGAAACGAAATTTCGCACATAGCCAAGTGTGGGGTCGTTGCTAAGGATGGAAAGTTCCCATCCCACTTCGTTTTGGGGTTATTATTAAAGAACCCCCAATCATGCCCACCTTCAAGACACCAATCCTGCCTCACGGTTGTCACTTTTGAGCGTCAGACCAATGTTAAAACAAAACACTACAAGAACAGAGGAATAAAACCCCAAAATTCAAATGATCACCCTGGATTCAGACGCAATTTCTCTGTCCGCCAGTCAGAAACACTAATGACTCCATTAAATCAATTAACATGTCGTTCATACAACGTGGGTTACAATTACTCAATTCGCGTACCAGTATCTTGAAGCTGTTTCAGAGCAATACCTAAAAACCACCACTAGGTGGCTGTAGAAACGTGTTTCGAATGTTTTTAGCCCTCGACACATTTGCTTAGGGATGGCTAACATGAAACTGATGTTTCGGCACAGTGTTGAGATCCAAACGTGCAGATGTTTCGAAACACCTAGGTCATGTGACTGAAGCCATTTAGGGGATCGTGGCATTTCACAAGTGTTTCAAGAATCTGTGTTTGAATGACAGGGTCAGAAACGAAAACTCGCACATTGCCAAGTGGACTGCACACGTCCCAATTCCTGGGTTCAAATCCTGGCTTTTACAAAAAATGTTTGGAAACACTGCTCTGAAGAGTTTCCAAACACCCAAGTCATGTGACTAAAGCAATTCATTTGAAAGCCATTCACAAGCATTGGCGAATCTGTGTTTGACTGACAAAATAAAAACTCGATCGCACATAAATCAACATGGCTGATTTATACTTCTGCGCCGAGTGCATGTGTACGGTCGCATAGCTTTCGATGTGGCCACCGCCGACACTGACCTTTTAAAAAGTGTAACTAACGATCACAACCATGTATAGCGCAAGCTCTGTGATTGGTCAGCTTGGTAGCGCTGATGAATGTGGGCAGAGGTGAGAACCATGAGCCCGATGGAGCGATTGTTTACAAGTGTCCCGTGAGGCAGCTCCAGATGCACACTTTTGTTCTGTGTTTACCTCATGATTAAATTAGTTGCTCGTCCACCAGCTCCTGCCTCAGAATGAGTGAGTTTGAGCTACTTGTACATTAAGGAAGCGTTCAGAAAATCAAAACATCATTGAAGAAACCAGACACTGAGGACCATCAACACCTACTGCCAGCTTGTGTTTGCTTCAACTATTTCAATGTCTCACAAAGCCACACTCTGCCTACCACTAGTCTAAAGGTGTATACAAGACAGACCAAAACAAGGAGACTTGATAATGTCTAACATGAAACTACTGAGCAATGAATGAGTGTGTCTCTGGTGCTTAAATACTGTGTATAATTAATTATGGCGACCTGCAAGTGTGTTAGAATCCAGATTGCTAACCGCTGTAGATGACGGGGTGTGTAGTCCGGGTGAATGACTGGTGGAGTGAACATATAGCTGGAGTGCCCTCTAGTGAGACTGGTGGGTACTGCAGCTAATACTCATGACACTATAAACATCTAGAGTGCTTCTTCAGACCGTCTGGATCATGTCTGTATTAGAGATCCAGCTCTCTCAGGCCCAGGTGGTGTTTTCGGTCCCCTGGACAGCTACTGGACAGCGGTGGGGCTCTGGGAGGTGGTTCACTGAGGGATGGAGACAGGACATGCACTGATCCCACAGGTCTGGAGACTTCTTGCTGAACAGCCTGGAGAAAAACAAAAACAAATCCCAAACTGGCTGATTTTGATGTAGACTCACACTGTGTCCTGACTACACAAGATGCGACAATTTACATACCAAATGACAGACACGATTAAATATCAGCCAACAAAACAGTGAGGGTCAAACTCCAATTAATACAGATTTAACCTGTTTAACTTTATTAAAAGCTCACAGTCTGAGTGACTGATGTTGTAGTCACAGTTCTGACTTCTGTCTTCAAACCATCTGCTAATAATTTTATTTTTCAAGATCTGAGGTGAACTATCTGCTGCTGCTTTTAGTAGGATGGCAATAAATGTCATGTAAAATGGTATTTCAGGAGTTCACACTTACATATGGCTTGATGATAATAGCAGGTTTGGCATGCTTTTACTGAAGAAAACTCTGAGCTTGGAGATGATTGAGCCCAAGGCTCCCACCTAGTCAATGAGCATGTGAGGGGGTACAAGATCAGGAAGTTCTCGAGAGCTCCCCAAAATGCTTAATGACTCTGGACAGGAGCCATGTATTCGTAGAGACCCCCCCTCCCCCCAAATGGCTAGAAATGCCTGGATATAGTGGTTGGGAAATGAAAAGGTAAAGAGGGCTCTTGCGGGAGCAAAGGGTGACACAGAATACTGCGGGAACCCGAGCAGGGTTGGCATGGAGAGGGCAATGAAGACTCCTGTGGGAGTCAAGGCTGTGGGGTGGGAAAAATTATGCTGAAGTCAAGGAAAAGAGAAGGGGTGATAAGGACTCCGGCTGGATGGGGAGGTGACTCCTGGGGAGTCGATTGTGCAAGGAACACTCCTGACGGAGATAAAGCTGGTAAGTGGCGGCACTCCAGAGACCCCGCCCATTGACTAGTGTAGTGGATTTAGCTTTTTCATGAATTTTCTTTGAACTTTTTGAGCTACTCTGTCAAGTCCTGTTATACTGTTCAGAGGACATCCATGTCATTTGATTGGCTGGCATGCTAGGAACCACTTCTTATACTGCATTCAAAATGGCCGACATACAAACAAGCACTTTTTTTGGGAAGGAGAGAGGTAAAATTGAGCTTTTAAAATGTTTTTTACTATTATTATTACATATATATTTGTTTATTAAAGTGTCAATACATTAAGCTTTCAAAATATTGTCGAGTCACAGCTCGGATTGGTAGAGCTATATTTGGCCAGCTCCAGCAGGAGTCAGGGAAGGTGATCGGGTGGTGGAGACTCCTGCTGGAGGGTGACGGGCAAAGTCAGTGCTCAGGGAACACTCCTGCGGGAGTGGCAGCACTATATATATATATATATATATATATATATATATATATATATATATATATATATATAATAAATATTTATAGTACTGTATTAAAACCATTATTTACTGTAAAGCACTCACCACTGGCTGAAAGATTTCACATTTAACGTCTACAAGAACTTTGATCTCCAGCGTGTCGTCAGCAGTGATGTGTGAACCAGAGCAAAACCCCTTGAGCTTCAGGAGGAAAACAAGAATGTTTTAATGGCATTACTTTCAACTCACACTTGATAAATATGCTTGGATTTCAACTGTGTAGCCTTGCGAAAAACCATAGTCATTTTCAAATTAGCCATTGTCTTACTACAGCATTTAAAGTAAAACTTTAGTAACTACAAAATAAACCAGGGTTTTGCTACGCCATTTAAAGTAAAACCATAGTTTCACTATAGTAAATCCACTGTAAATGTCCGTAAGGGGATTCAGATTTGGACTTTACTGATGAAACGAGCTCTTACAGCAGACTGTGAGTCCTTTGGTGGGCACTGCGTCAGGTCGATCTCAGAGCTGTTTCTCCTGCACTCGCTCTCTTGAACGATGAACTCCACAAAGTACGACGGACCCACAACCCACTGCAAAACACACAACACACACATTTACCCCACCACACACCTGTGTCTCAGGACAGATCTAGAGGATTCACAGACTCTTCAGTGTTGACGTACCTGCATGCTGGCCGCTGTTATATTGACGAGAGTGAAGAGATGTGGGGAAGTGCTCTCTTTGTTGTATTTGCGCAGGGCCATCTGTGTGGTCTCCGATATTACTGGATCATCTAGACGTTCTGCAGTCGGACAGTCGGGGCAAGCTTCTAATATCGCTCGAGCTGTCACTGGAAAATATCCAGGCAAAGTCAGAATTTTACAAAGTCACTATTTCAGTGTATTACACACATGGAGAAATCATTAAAACAGACAATCTTCAGGTAAAGTAAGGGATAAAGTACATCCCGGTGGCTGTTAACAGATTTTTACACAGCTGTCTGGAATACTCAGATTGGTCAGATGCAACATTCGAAGGTATGTTATGTTAGGGATAAAGCACATCCAGGAGGTTGTCATCTCAGAATAAAGCCTGACAGGTTTATCAGCAGCTCATTCAGACGGGCTGGTCTGAGTATTTCAGAAACTGCTGACCTACTGGGTCTGAAGAAAGAAAAATATCCAGTGAGCGGCAGCAGAAGACCACACTTGGTGAAGATTGGAGAAACGTTGCTGCTCTGATGAGTCTCCATTTCTCCTGACAAGTTCGGATGCTCGGCTCACAATTTGGCCTCAACAACATGAAAGCATGGATCATCCTGCCTTGTATCAGCGGTTCAGGCTGGTGGTGGTGGTGTAATGGTGTGGGGGAGATTTTCTTTGGGTCCATTAGTACCAATTGAGCATCAACGCCACAGCCTACCTGAGTATTGCTGCTGACCATGTCCATCCCTTTATGAGCACAGTGTCTCCATCTTCTGATGGCCATTTCCAGCCAATCATCTCAGACTGGTTTCTTGAACACTGTACTCAAATGGCCTCCACAGTCACCAGTTCTCAATCCAATAGAGCAGCTTTGTGATGTGGTGGAATGGGAGATGATCCGGCATCATGGATGTGCAGCCGACAAATCTGCAGTAACTGTGTGATGCTATCATGTCAATATGGAGCGAAATCTCTGAGGAATATTTACAGTACCTTGTTGAATCTCTGCCATAAAGGATTAACGCAATTCTGAAGGCAAAAGTATTCCTACGCGGTACTAGTAAGGTGTACCTAATAAAGTGGCCGGTAAGTATAAAAACCCCCAAAACAAAAGTATAACCTCAGACAAATGTTTCTGCAGTGCTCTAATTGATTTCCAGGCAATTTCTAAGAGGTGATGAAACTTATTTTTGTGTCTGGAATATTGGAGATAAGTGTGTGTGTGTGTGTGTGTGTGTGTGTGTGTGTGTGTGTGTGTGTGTGTGTGTGTGTGTGTGTGTGTGCTGTTGAATGCAGACTCAGCAAACCTTGTTGGACGCTGCAGTTGTAACTCTGAACTTTGATGGTGCTCTCAAGGGAAACGGAGGCTTCACACGTCCCGAATGCCTAATTTAGTTCAGATAACTGTAAACATTATTCAAACTTAAAGTAAATACACTAAAATATCTGTCAATGAACAGTTTCCGTGTTTTGTGATTCACTAGTGCTTTATTTGCGGTGGTGAACTGCATTTTGGGATGCTGATCTCTGCTCTGTCCACTTTTACTTAAAAATTCAAGTCTGCAGCTTAAAAAAGTGACTTTTATTGACATTTAAGTTGTTTGAAGTAATAATATAATGTATGAGAAATAATATCCAGACAAATCAGACTGTAAAGTTACAGAAAATGTGCTGCAGTTTATTACAAGGTATATGTAGTGTAACATACAACACCAACACACACAATACATGACCTTAAACTATTCAAAATGTTCAGAAATGTCTGTTTAATTCAACTTTTCAAGGTTAAAAGTTGCTGGAAGACAGATCCATAATGCAACTCAAAAGCATGAACAAACTGGAGAATATAAATAATAGAAACGTGAATCACAAAATATGGAAAACTGCTAATTCATGGATATTTTCACAAAATAATTGCATGAAATGTGGAATTTAATGTTGTAATAAACTAGTAAAACACTTACCGGTAAATTACCAATGTCCTTAACAGCACAGGATTTCCATTTCCTTCTGCTGATCACATGACATTGTGTTGCCAGAACATCTAGGGTCAGGTGTAAGTGATTTATACCATCTGCCTATGAGAACATGCCAAATTAGCATAAAAAAAACGCTTCGTTGTGCAACTAAGGTATTGGTATACTTTGTTGAAAGTATTTTCATCTTTCAGTTCCAATATATATATATATATATAAGAGTAATACCACATGAGTAGCAGTGTGATCCGTCTGTATATCAGCACTGGGGGGAGTTGTGTGTTGACTCGAGTGCCTTACGCCTCATTCACACAGGGCTTCAGCGTCAACACTTGACAGAGGGCGTGTCTGAAGTTGGGGCTGACGCGATCATCATAGCAGCGCTAGCCAATGAAATTAGTCAGCAATAGACCACTGTCTGAGCTGGTGTATTTGCATACAGCGATCTGATTGGCTGTTGCTTTCATTACTGCTTGAAAAGTTGAGAAAGTCCCAACTTTAGTGGCGCCGATGGATCCACAATGCAGTTCCGCAATGCCTGAGGTCACCCATGTAATGTGAATAGGAAGCGTTGATGCTGATGCCCCGTGTGAATGTCGAGTGTCCCACCAGTGCTGATATACAGTAATATCACACTGCTACTCGTGCGATATTGTGTTTATACAACAGTTTGAAAGAAAAAAAAAAAGAAAATCAAACACGGAGAGTCCAAAAAAAATCCACGTGTATAAGGAACTTTCTTCTGCCATTCATACACATCGAAAGCTCACATCAGAACAGCAGAAACAAATGGACTTAGTATGTGGCCTCTGTTGCCATCTTGTGGCTGATGGCGGCCAATGCACAATTTGATGCTCCAGAATGATTTTTTTTTTAAATAGGCACTATTCTACTATCACTATCCTTATAAATAAACTGTATAGTTGCAATCTAAACAACGACATTTTCGCCTAAAAAAAGCCTCAGAAGTACATTCTGTTGCCCAACAGCTGCAATAATTGTTAAACTGTAGAGTGTCCTCTGCTTGTTGCTGTATGTGGGCGGAGTAATACACACGGGTAAAGGGGCTGGATGAGTGCTGTTATTTGCACAATATCGCAAGGCTATTATAGATTCAAGAACCAGACAGAACTGTTGTATATATATATATATATATATATATATATATATATATATATATATATATATATATATATATATATACAGTTGAAGTCAGAATAATTCGCCCCCTGCTTATTTTTCACCCAATTTCTGTGTAACGGAGAGCAGATTTCTCCAGCACATGTCTAATCATAATAGTGTTAATAACTCATCTCTAATAACTGATTTATTTCCTCTTTGTCATGATGACAGTAAATAATATTAGACTAGATATTCTTCAAGACACTTCTATACAGCTTAAAGTGACATGTAAAGGCTTCACTAGGGTAATTAGGGTAACTAGGCAGGTTAGGGTAATTAGGCAAGTTATTGTATAACGATGGTTTGTTCTGTAGACTATCCAAAACAAATATAGCTTAAAGGGGCGAATAATATTGACCTTAAAATGCTGTTTAAACAATTAAAAACTGCTTTTATTCTTGCCCAAATAAAACAAATCAGACTTTCTCCAAAAGAACAAACATTATCAGACATACTGTGAACATTTCCTCAATCTGTTCAACATCATCTGGGTAATATTTAAAAAAGACAAAAATTCAAAGGGAGGCGAATAATTCTGACTGCAATATATATATATATACACACACACGCACACACACTTTTTAAAGAAAATTATTCTGTTCATCAAGCTAATCATCATTGATTAAATATAAAAAAATGTTTAATTGTTAAATATTTATTACAATTTTAAATAACTGCTTTTTTATTACGATTATCATTAATAATAATAACATTAATAATAATAATAATAATAATAATAATAGTGTAATCTAGTATATAATTAGAGTGATAGAAGGATCAACTGGCGTAATGAAGCTGAAAATTAAAATTTAATAAATGATTCAAATAAATGATAAACTACTTTTGAACAGTTATTTTACAGTGCAATACACTTCACTATTTTACAATGTCTACTGTATTTTTGATGAAATAAATGCAGCTTTGGTGGGTAGGATAAGCTTATTTTAAAACATTTAAAAATGTTAGTGACCTCAAACTTTTGACCAATAGTGTATATATACAATTGCGGTCAGAACTATTTGCCCCCTTTAAATTGTTTTCTATTTTAAATATTTCCCAAATGGTGTTGAACAGATTGAGGAAATGTTCACAGTGTGTCTGATAATATTTTTTCTTCTGGAGAAAGTCTGATTTGTTTTATTTGGGCTAGAATAAAAGCAGTTTTTAATAGTTTAAACAGCATTTTAAGCTCAATATTATTCGCCCCTTTAAGCTATATTTGTTTTGGATAGTCTACAGAACAAACCATCGTTATACAATAACTTGCCTAATTACCCTAACTTTACCCTAATTACCATAATTACCCTAGTGAAGCCTTTACATGTCACTTTAAGCTGTATAGAAGTGTCTTGAAGAATATCTAGTCTAATATTATTCACTGTCATCATGACAAAGAGGAAATAAATCAGTTATTAGAGATGAGTTATTCACACTATTATGATTAGAGATGTGCTGGAGAAATCTGCTCTTCGTTCCACAGAAATTGGGGGAAAAAATAAACGGGATTTATAATAAACAACAGTATTTATAATAAATAGTAGTAATAAACAGTATGTATATATATATATATATATATATATATATATATATATATATATATATAAAAGCTTAACATTTTCAAATGCATCCACATAATTGGCAGTAATATCATCGCTCACCTTTTTGTGTAGTTTGACATTGTATATTCGGTTGAGTGTCAGGATATATCCCTCCTGTCTCTCTGCATTGATCTGCTCTAAAGCTTCCTCGGCCGCCTTCATCACGGCGGCATCCTGGCATTTATCTGGCATTTGATTGGTGCTGCCATCTTGCCAAAACACACACACCGACAGAACCAAGAGGAAAGGCCGCATCCACATCTCTGTAGAATCACACACGTTTGCTAGAAAGCAGTCAAAGACATGGCAGAGAAATGCAGTTCAAGTCTTTCACAAACCACTGAACTTTCACCTGCGGCTATCAGCAAACACAGCTTTGTTGATCTGACACGGCGGCTGTCTGCTGGCTAGTAAACAGTGGTGCAACAGGTCAAAATCACAGAACTAAAGGCTTGGTGACCCCCCTTACACCCGCCATTAAACATGAACAGAACTACAACACATACAGTCTGAGATTTCTTCCATAAAAGCATCCCTGCTGTCTAATTCCGTCATGAACTACATTAAAAACATTGACTTCTTTGTTTGAAATATCCATGACTTATTTTGGCAATTATTAAAATCAAAAGGGAAGAAGTGTCAGGTCATGAACACTTTAATTTGGTTTGTGGGTGTTAAAAGGGTCGTTCACCTCAAAATGAAAAGTCTGTCATGGCTTTGTTTGTTCATTTTCAGCCAAACTGTTACATTTGGGGGTTTTATTATTGGGATTAGCTTCATCTATGTTCTGGATTTGAATAAACTCTGCAGTTAGATTTGTGACAGATGTAGTCTTAATTAACACAAGACACTTATTTTGATGGTCCATTTGAGTCAGGGGTGATTTAACCAATAAGCGAGGTAAGCGGCCCCTTAGGGGCCCAGGAAATCTGGGAGCCCCCAATAAATATCTAGATGTATAAATTATACCTGTAAACAATATCTGACATTGTTTTCTATCATATTTTGTATGGTGAGAGTCAAACAAATACAGTTTTAACACAATAAATATTATTTAATATAAATTTAAATATAATATTGTTATCCACCACCCCATAATCATAGAGCAGTGGTCAAAATAATATATATATATATTTGTCCTTTTTTTAATATTTCCCAAATGGTGTTGAACAGATTCAGGAAATGTTCACAGTATGTCTGATAATATTTTTTCTTCTGGAGAAAGTCTTATTTGTTTAATTTCGACTAAAATAAAAGCAGTTTTTAATTTTTTAAACAGCATTTTAAGCTCAATATTATTCGCCCCTTTAAGCTATATTTGTTTTGATAATCTCCAGAACAAACCATCGTTATACAATAACTTGCCTAATTACCCTAACCTGCCTAGTTACCCTTTAAATATTCTTTAAAATTAACTTATATATATATATATATATATATATATATATATAATTTTTTAAAAATATATATATTATTTTTAGTTGTAAATTAATTTTAAGAAAACTAATCATTTAAGAAGTAAATATTGCATTAAAATAGAACATAGAAAAGACGTTTTATGTGATATAAAAAAAAAAACATCTAAATAATTAAAAATTAAATAAAAGTATAAAGGGTGCATTTTAGGACGGTTGGGCCCCAAAATATACCAAAACACCATTAAAATGCACTGATTTTAATGGATGACATAGTTTTGAAATTATTATTATTATTATTATTATTATTATTAATTACATTGAGCTGCATTGATTCATTTTGCAGCTCTAGTGCAGTGGTTCTCAAAACTTTTTCATCAAGTACCACCAAAATGAGCAGTACTGAAATACAGTAGCAGGCCCAGTGGAGCAGCTGCAGCTCTGCACAGTTCAAAATCCTGGCAGATTAATCCCTATTATAAAGAATATTTATTCTTATCTGCCATATTAAACATTAAATAGTCTGAACATCAACACTGTACTGTGCTTATATGCAAAATAAAATAAAAATAAAAATGTCAACATTTAAATTAAAATGTACTTTTAAATGTTAAAAATGGTAGGTTACTATACTTAAAAAGTAAAAAAGAAAAAGAAAACTGCTGTACTTAAATATAAAGTCTTAACACATAGTAGCCAATTCATCAAAACCTGTAAATGTTGCCTGGACCTCAGAAATATAGGCTATATGTCATCATATATTCATAAATAGATCATTTTTGATCAATTTTGAAATAGCATGGCATATTTGATTCCTCCGCGTACCACTAGAAGGAAGCCTGGCCTGCTGCGTACCCCTGTTTGAGAACCACTGCTCTTGTGGATTCAAGTTTACTTCAAGTTTACTGCCGCTCACTGGATATTTCCTCTTTGTCGGAGCATTCTCTGTAAACCCTAGAGATAGTTGTGCATGAAAATCCCAGTAGATCAGCAGTTTCTGAAATACTCAGAGCAGCCCGTCTGGCAGCAACAACCATGCCACCCTCAAAGTCACTTAAATCCCCTTTCTTCCCCATTCTGATGCTCACTCTGTACTGCAGCAGATTGTCCTGACTATGTCTACATGCCTGAATGCATTGAGCTGCTGCCATGTGATTGGCTGATTAGAAATTTGATTTAACAAGCAGCTGCACATGTGTACCTAATAAAGTGGCCAGTAGGTGCATCCTCAGTAAGTGCAGAATGGTTTTCTTTATTGTCTTGGATATGACAAGTTCATGTGTGAATTAACGTCACTTGCATTTGAATCACCATTAAAATGATTCTTCGCATATAAATCTGTCTACACACTTTAGACTACAAGCTGCAGAACTGTGTGCCTCCTCCTGAAATATTAGAGCCTTTAATAGGTTTTAAAGGAGTATGCAACATCTATGAATTGAATTGAGAGTAAGCCATCCTCCAAGTTTCATGAGAGACAGTGTGAAGACTTATCTGTGCTCAACACACCGACGCTTCACTGTTATTTGCAGGGAGCTATAGGCTAGTTTGCGGTGCTTGCAGATTCAACCCCAGTGCAATGTTCAGTGTAACTCAAGTGAAACAGCAGGGAAATGAGCTGGCGGGTCACTGTGTTAATTATATTTGCCTGATCATCACAAGACTGAGGCATGTGATATTGATCACACTATTAAACACATCCAGCACATACAGACCGCTCATACCCATGCTATATTATATTGTACTCCAGAGGGCGCTCATTGGCCCAAAAACCTAGTTAGGGCTTGATTCAAATATCTGGAAAATTAGTCAAACATCTGAACTTACTCAAGTATAATAGCTTAAATCGTTTTCTAGTAGTCTCTGCTTTATTGAATACAACTTAAAAGTAACTCCTTACAATTAAATGTGTTTTTAAATGCTCGTCTACTACACAGTGATTGATGTTCTCTGAGCAGCGGTGAGAAAAGTAACACCTTCCTCGTGACAACTCAATTCATGCTACTTCAGCAGTCGCTTCGTTGATTTATTAATAAAAACAACAATAGTATATTTATAAATAACATCTCGGGTAGTAATATAGAGAAACGTAAGCATCAAATAAGTCGCTAATACACAATGAGTAGTTAAAACAGAGGAATTAATAGTTAACAATACAATACAAAAAGAGTTTTTGAAAGTGGGCGTTTCCATATGGGCGTGGCAAAAGCAGAGGGGCGTCTTTGACTCCATCACCTAATTGGTTAAGGAAGGAGGCTCATTATTAATGCATAATTCATCACATAGGTGTCAAACTCAATTCCTGGAGGGCCGCAGCTCTGCACAGTTCTGCTCCAACCCCAATCAAACACAGCTGATCAACTAATCAAGGTGTTCAAGAACACCTCAGTGTTTCACTTCTGCTTTGCAGAGACATTATTCTCACATCTTGAACAATCCTAACACCTCTCTTGTTTTTTTGTTTTATATATATCATCACCTTAGAATTATAAGGCTCTATCTGACATTTTTTTGACATATTCTTATTGAATGACGACTTATTTACATTATAGGATGTTTTTCTTTGTAAGTTGTTTACATTTTAAGACTTTTAAAAAAATGTTACACTCATACCGTTTGCTATGGAATGCAAAAACTTTAAAGCTCAACATCTCAAAACCATTGAGAATGCAGAGAGCACCTTATAATTCCAAGGTGACGATATATATGAGCTCACATACTCACTGGCCACTTTATTAGGTACACCTTAGCCATGGCCATCAGAAGATGGAGACACTGTGCTCATAAAGGGATGGACATGGTCAGCAGCAATACTCAGGTAGGCTGTGGCGTTGATGCTCAATTGGTACTAATGGACCCAAAGAAAATCTCCCCCACACCATTACACCACCACCACCAGCCTGAACCGCTGATACAAGGCAGGATGATCCATGCTTTCATGTTGTTGAGGCCAAATTCTGACCCAAGTATGCGACAGCAGAAATGGAGACTCTTGGTTGGACGTGTTGTGTGTTCAGAGATGCTCTTCTGCAGAGCTCGCTTGTAACGAGTGCTTATTTGAGTTACTGTTGCCTTTCTATCAGCTGGAACCAGTCTGGCCATTCTCCTCTGACCTCTGGCCTCATCAACAAGGCATTTGTGCCCACAGAACTGCCGCTCACTGGATATTTCCTCTTTGTCAAAGCATTCTCTGTAAACCCTAGAGATGGTTGTGCGTGAAAATCCCAGTAGATCAGCAGTTTCTGAAATACTCAGAGCAGCCCGTCTGGCAGCAACAACCATGCCACGTTCAAAGTCACTTAAATCCCCTTTCTTCCCCATTCTGATGCTCACTCTGAACTGCAGCAGATCCTCCTGACCATGTCTACATGCCTAAATGCATTGAGCTGCTGCCATGTGATTGGCTGATTCAACAAGCAGTTGGACAGGTGTACCTAATAAAGTGGCCGGTGAGTAAATGTATGTATATGAAAAAAAGTTACATAAAAAATATTGTTGGAAGAGGTTTGAAATATCTACATTTAAATTATTGGCTAATACAATAATAATAAATCGTCAGCGGGAATAATGATTTTCCATTTAATGGTTTTCTGCGCATCAAAGATGTTCTTGTGTCATAAAAATCTCTTCAACTATGTAATATTTAAAGTTTTTATGAACAGAGGATGTTATTTTACTGTATTTTATTTTGTATTGTGTTTTGTATTCATTTTGTTTTGTATTTTATAATTGTTTATCAAGGTTTTTTATTTATTTATTATAATGCTGCTATGTGGTCTCTTTGTAATTGTATATTTCTTGGTATCGTTTACTTGGTATTATGTATCTTCTTTCAAGCATAATATTAAATAAATAAATAAATAAATAAATAAATAAATAAGCACCATATTGTCATTCAGCTTCCGGGCCACTATAAGCCACGCCCACTGTAAACACCC